AGCTCAACTGGGAAATCCCAGTGACAGAAACAGTGCGTTGTGACATCAATCAGCGCCCGTCTGCCCACAACCACCCCCCCCCACCCCCCGCTAAGGAAAACTACCCCACCCACATCCCCTGATTTCCAGGTGACCACGTGAAGTGCCATAAGAAGGTGCATCCCCAGCGGCGCCTGGGTGGCGCAGTCGGTTAAGCGTCCGACTTCAGCCAGGTCGCAATCTCGCAGTCCGTGAGTTCGAGCCCCGCGTCGGGCTCTGGGCTGATGGCTCGGAGCCTGGAGCCTGTTTCCGATTCTGTGTCTCCCTCTCTCTCTGCCCCTCGCCCGTTCATGCTCTGTCTCTCTCTGTCCCAAAAATAAATAAACGTTGGAAAAAAAATTTTTTTTTTAAAAAAGAAGGTGCATCCCTGGCCACAGCTGATTAGACCAAGGATGGGCGCCTGAACCCCAGGCAGCCAATTTTCAGGTGACATAGGACGTGAACTGGCATGAAAAGATGAACCAGGCCAATCAGATTACTTCTTCTGGGAATCTGAATTGGGAAACATGCAGAACCCAAACCAGTTACCAGTCAGCCATAGTTTATCAGAAGGTCATATCATGGTAAGAGAGGCTAAGGGAGCTTTGATGAACCATGAGTAGGCAAAGAATGCCGGTGAGGCGGGAGAAGAAAGAGGAGCAGATAAGCAGAGACAAACAAATTTTGAGAAAATGTGAAGAAGAGAAAAATGAGACACCTGGTTAAGAGCACCAGGTAAAAGCAAGTGAGAAATTCTCCCCAACTCAAGGAACCTGTAAACTTACATGAGCAAGCTTGAGAGCATCTCCGTTGCTGGCAATGAGAGACACCCAAAAACAGTGAAACGGGACTGACATCACACCAAATGTTCTTGTCCCCCAGGGTTCGTATGTTGAACCTAATCCCCAAAGAATCAAGATGTGGTCCCTTTGGAAGATGATTAGGTCATGGTGGGGAGGGGCTTGTGAACGCGATTAGCACCCACATGAAAAAGGCCCCCGAGAGCCACCTCAACCCCTTCCACCACGTTGAGGACACTGCAAAAAGACCGCTGTCATTGAACAGGAAAGCAGACCCTCACCAGACACTGAATCTGCCAGCACCTCAATCTTGGACTTCCTGCCTCCAGACTCCGAGGAATCAATTTCTGTTGTCTATAAGCCACCCGGTCTAAAGTACTTTGTTACAACAGCCCCAATGGACTAAGACAAACAGTTAATAAGCTCTTGTTGCATGCAAGGTACTCGCTGAGTGCTTAATGTATTTCTCATTTCTCATTCTTTCTCAGCTATGTCACAATAGCACTAAAATACATACATTATAGTCCTTGCCTGTTCTACTTTATCATCCTTACTTCAGAGATAAGGAAAATTAAGAGATTGTCTAGCTCTTCACTTCCCAGGATGGTAGCCACTAGTCACATGTTGCTCTTAAGCATTTAAAATGTGGCTAGTCCAGGGGCGCCTGGGTGGCTCAGTCAGTTGAGCAACCAACTCCGGCTCAGGTCATGACGTCGCGGTTCACAGGTTTGAGTCCCGCATTAGGATCTGTGCCGACAGCTCAGAGCCTGGAGCCTGCTTCGGATTCTGTGTCTCCCTCTCTCTCTCTGCCCCTCCCCACTCATGCTCTGTCTCTGTCTCCCCAAAATAAATAAACATTAAAAAAAATAATAAAAATAAAATGTGGCTAGTTCAAATTATGAAGTGCTGTAGGTGTAAAAGCCACACCAGACTTTTGAAATTCAGCACAAAAATTTTAAAGACAACGTAAAATATCTCCTCCATCATTTTTGGTTGATAACAGGTTGAAATGACATACGTGAAGTATCTGAACATATATACATTTTTACGTTTGCTCTTGGAAGCCACCACTATCCTATAAAGAAGCTGAACTTGACTACGGAATGGGACAGAGAGAGAGAGAGAGAGAGAGAGAGAGAGCGCGGTCATGTGGGGGAGCCCCTTAGTGCCAGACATCTGAACAAAGCCTTCTAGGACCTTCCAGCACAGCCAAAACGGCCAGCTGAACACAGCCTAACAAGTGTCTGAGCCAATGCCATGTGGAGCAAATGACTCAAGCCAAACACAGCCCAAATGGCAGAACCAAGAGAAATAATAAAGCGCTTTTGTTTCAAGCTGCTAAGTTTGGGGGTAGTTTGTTACATAGCAATAGATAATTAAAGTGTGCCTTCTGTAAGCAACACCCTATGATAGACAGACCCCTGGGGCCATTCAGCCCCTGCTAGTTAAGCACTCCCTGCTGGTTGACAGCCGCTGCCCAGATTTCAGAAGAGACCTTTGAGTGGTTGCCTTTCTCTGTTGGGTACCCCAGGGCCCTTTTCTTCCCCACCAAGCCTGGTGAGGAGAGAGGCAGCCATCCCAGCTCTGTCTCCTGGCACCCCGTAGAGACAGGTCCACAGGACTAGCTGCCAACAGGAGCCCGCGGGAAAGCAGGTCGCAAACACGAAGAAGTAACACGGATGCTGGACTCTTACAAGTTTTTATGCTTCATTGGGCCGGACTTTCTGATACCTCACAAAATGTAGTAAACAAGAGTGGGTGGACGCTGTTCACCTCCACTTTCTTTTCTAAGGATGGGGCTCGCCTCCCCTGGCCCCCTTCCGACTCTGTATACCAAAGTTCCTTCCAGGCCAATTTTTTCCCCATCATCATCCAGGCACAACAATAGGTTCTCCTTTGTCTCAAGTTGGCCACTTGCTTTTCTGGGGCTTTCGTGCCTGGGTGACACCCACTTGATTAGACATTTGCCCCTGGTGGGCTCAGAGCCCCTCATTTACATTTCCCCACAATAGTGAATGGCTTACAGGCTGGTTGAATGAAATACAGTTGCTAAATAGCTAGTGATTGAGCCAGAAAGGCGCCCTTTAAAGGTCATCCTTGGAGCATTTCAAAGCTGTGGACCACCTTTGAAAGTCAAGGCAGTGTGAGAACTCTAGGAGCAACTCAACTTTGCCTCGTGCAGACATTTCGATGGCCACTTCCCACCCAGGTCTTCATCGATGACCCCGGGAGAAAGGATTTAGGAGTTAAAACCAAAGCCACAAAAACAGCGTCACCATTTAAATTCTACATAGAGTCCATGCATAAAACAAAAATCACATATGGTCGCAATTATCCTTCAATTCCTGTGAATAGAGCAGACATTGTTGTGTGTTTACAACCCTGAGTAGTAATTCTTAATAGCGTTGGAAGTTCAAGACCGCTGAGTTACAAACAAAAGGGAGGAATAACAGTAACGTCGCTGCATAGATGTCTGTTTTCAAAGCATTTCACATTTAAGACAACTGCTAAATTCCCAGCCACACTCTACCCATCTCTAGCGGGAAATGAGGGACAGGTGGAGAATAACAGAAAGTCAACACTCAGCACAGTGAGGTGCTGTGCTATCTGCTGTGTATCAGCTCACGCAAACTTTACATTCAGAATCACCCCTGTTTTACAGAAGAGGAAACTGAGGTATACAGAAGTTGTGGAACTATCTGAGGTTTCCTACTAGCATGTGCTCCCAAGGGGCCGTAGTAAATGAGTTACTGGTGAAGGAAATGTAGGATCTCAATAACTGGAACTGAGAGATGGGGACGGATATTTGGGGTGAGAGACACCCCGTGAGCAAAGGAATAGAGATGGAAAATACAGGGCAGGTCTGGACGATATGTTTTTGTGGTTGGGTCACGGTGAAGTGACGTGGGCTGGGGGAAGGGTCAAGAAAGAATTCTTGACATGTTTTTGGTGCAGACAGGTGTTTTTAGTGAACCCCGGGACAGGGCCTGTGGGAAGAGTTGCACAGGGATTATGAAGAAGGATTAGTTATATACTTTTATGTTGGCGGGGGGGGGGGGGGGTGGTGAGGGCAGTGGCTGGAGATAAAGGAAGTTTCCAAAAGGAAGGTCATAAGCTAAAGAAGACTTTCAGGATCCTGGAGGTCGGCTATTGTCAAGCTAAGGTTGCTTTTTGCCTCTAGCAAAGCATGAACATTAAGACAGTTGAGTTCCTTGGGGAATGTCATACTCTGCGTGTGTCAAATCTTTGTCAAAGGGCTGCAAAGTGTAAGGAAATGTAATTTTCTCTACATTTCTTTTGCCTTTGTTCTTCTCATCCAAAGGATGAGTGAGATCTGGCATAGGAATCTAAGGCTGGATAACCTGGTAATTCTTGATTTACGTGCCACCTTGGCTGGGCCATGGATGCCCAGATATTTGGTCAAATTTTATTCTGGCTGTTTCGATGAGAGTGTTTCTAAATGAGATCAATACTTAAATAGGTGGACGTTGAGAAAAGCAAATTTCTCTCCCTAATGGGGTTGGACCTCGTTTAACTAGTTGAAGGCCACAGTACAACAAAAAGATCAGCCTCCCCCAAGCAAGAGAGAAGACTCCAGCAGCCTGCTTCAGACTTCATCTGCAACATCATCTCTTCCTGGTTCTACAGGGGACAGCTTTCAGACTAGAATTGCAACATCAACTCCCTAGGATCCTCAGCCTGCCAACCCACCCTGCGGATATTGGACTTGCCAGCCTCTGTAATTGCCAATACCTTATAATAGATCTGTTTCTCTCTCTATACACATCCTATTGATTCTGGTCTTTAGAGCCAAACCGTGGGAGAGTCACAGAACTTGAGATCTGGAAAAAATCCTTTAGATCTCCCTCATTAGAACAATAGAAGAAGGGAGGGCCGCTTGGGTGGCTCAGTCGGTTAAGTGTCTGTCTCTTGGTTTCAGTTCAGCTTTGTGGGTTCGAGCCCCGACAGCTGTCAGTGCAGAGCCTGCTTAGGATTCTCTCTCTCCCCTTCTCTCTCTGCCCCTCCCCCACTCACCCTCTCCATCGCTCTCAAAATAAATAAACTTAAAAACACAAAAAGAAACGTTAAAAAAAAAAAAAAAAACCAGTAGAAGGGAAAGAAGACCATGTCTTAGAGACTTCCAGTGGCTTGTGAAGACCACGCAGACAGTAAACAGATGTGGGCTAGCTGCTGGCTTGGAACTCCCTTTCCAATCTCTTTTTCACTGTCCCCTTTGACTCACACACAGGATGCAGGTGGGGTTGGTGAGGGGACAGAGCTCTCCTGTGTGTTTCCCAAATACATTCTCTGCTTTCCTTCTCCAAACATGGCATACTATTGGTGTTGGCTCCAAACAGCCAGTGGTGGCCGCCACGGCACATGCCCATATGTCACTATCCCGCGATGCCAAGCACCTCACAGGTAGGTTGTGCCCAAGAGCAGGCCAGGAGCCAAGTCGGGCAAGCAAGGAGGTCCCTTCTTCTCAGCCTAACCAGCATTGACGGCTTCCTCTCCTGGTGTGATTTTAGGATTTCCCATTCTCCTCCCTACCGCATTTCCTGCTTAAAATAACTTTTTTTCCCAAGTGCCTTTGGCTGCTCTCTGATTCAGGCAAAACTAGAGAGGCAAAGAAAAATAAAAACCAGTCAGTTATTTTGGCCCATAGGTCACGCTACAGAGACACCAAATAATTACCTAATCCTGAACCTCACCCACTCTGCCCTTATCACAGCCCTGAATGTTTGAATGTTTTGCTTGCATTGTTCAAAGACCGGCTTCGTCAAGTTCAAATTTATACCTTCTTGATGGGAAGGACAGGTGTAGGCAAGCGTTATGGCTCTTGTATGTGGACCACTCCGGACAAAAGTATGAGACATCTCTGCATTGCCCATTGCTTGTCCCCACCTATGTTTCAAACCTACTGGTCTTCCCAGCTGCAAATTTTTTGCTCCAGTCAAACCGGTCTCTTGATTGTTCCCTAAACTTGCCTTGTGTTTTGCAACTAGAAACCTTTGCCCCCACCACCTGCCCCCATGGGATGTCTTCCCCACCTCTTTCGACCTAGCCAAATCAGATTCATTTCACCCTTATTCAACGCCAACGGCAGGTCGGCATTGGGCCAGCACCTACACACGTGTTATCTCATCCTGCAAGGTCCAGCAGAAATTCTTCTTATCTGTGAAGCTTTCTGGGACTCTCCCAACTGGAAGTGACCATTTCCTCCTTTCTCTTATGCTCATTTTCTGTACTACTCATTTGGCACTTAATGCGTCGTAGAACTTTATAATCATTCACTCATTCATTTTATTTAAACAAGTACTCACTGAATGACTATTATGTTCCTGAAACCGTGGTAGGTGCTGGAGGTACAAAGATGAAGAAGACACCCTCAGTTGTCTTCATGAAAGTCAGTCTAGTGGTGAAAACCGGCACATGAGGAGACAGTTGTCATACGATATGGCGGATGCGGGTCCAAGAAGGTTTCCTATGTCATCTCTGTCCCGGTTCAGTCTTGATGAATGAGTAGAAGTTGTTCAGGTGAAGGTTGGGAGAAAGCATGTTTTTAAGAAGGACAGAAGGACATGGGCCCAGAGCTGGGGAACAGCAGAGTGCGTAGAAGGAGATTGTAAGCAGCCCCCTCTTGCCGGGGCGTAGAATGTTGCTAAAGCACGGAATGTGCCAGACATAATGGGAGAGTCTGGAATACCAGGCTTAGAAGCTTGGATTCATCCTGGGGGTTGTGGTGTGCCATCGAGGGTTTTAAGCAAGGGATCCACCCAAAATTGGCAGTTCAAGATCACTCTGACTACAATGTGAAGAACGGAGAGATTTGAGGGAGGGAGCTGTAAAAAGGCTGTGGTGAGAACCTAGACAAGAAATAAGAGGGCAGTGATATCTGCCCCAGGAATAAGGATGCTAGATTTGAGAAATATACAAGATGTGAGATCATCTCAAAGTCAGAGCTTTGAAGGGCTTCACAACTACAAGTGTAGAATATAAATATAATGCAATGTAGGGAATCCATTATGGAGACTGCAAAAGTGTTGTCAGGGGAGACAACTGTCTGTTGTCAGGCTGAGACTGTCTTAAAAATATAAAACAGCTCATAGATTCGTCATTCTTATAACCTGAATATTTGTATGCATCACCTCTCTTCTCCTAGACTGTAGGCTCCTTGAGGGCAGGGGCCCTGAAAACGCTAAAGCACATCTAGCTCTTGTGACAAGCCAAAGCCTCTGCTCTCCCTGTTCGAAGGAGGTAGATTGCATCCTGGGGAACCACGTTGTACAGCGGGCAGACCAAGAGTTTCCGCAGCAGGGGCAAGGCAGGGAAGAAGAACCAAGACATGTTTCTAACAAACCATGAGGGGGATAGCCAGATCACAGCTGGAGCCAGGCAAGGCCAAGTCCACATCTTTATTCTGCCACCAGCCGAGTTGTGTGATCTTGGGCAAGTAAAATTCTCTTAGCCTCACCTCTTTTATCTATTAAATGAGAATAATATTACCCGCCTCCCCAGGTCAATTTCAGTACTATGTGAAATACTAAGTGGACACCTTCAGGCACGTACCTGGTACTGAGGGAGCACTCATTGTTATAGGCATAGGTGTCAAGGTGTCGGTGTCTTTTCTTGTCTGTTCCCCTCACTGCTCTGCGGGACCTCTGAGGGCAGAGACTATGTCTTACTCATGGTTTACTCCCATTTTCTACCGCAGTGCCTGGCACACAGATGTTCAATGAGTTCGTTGAATGAATTTGTATTATACTTACAGTGTTATCTCAGAGCCCGGCCAAGGGCTGTTATTCCAGATTCACAGCTTACCCCCTGAAAGAGCAAAGCCAGGATACAAATTTGACTAAGATCAAAGGGGCAGAGATTATTCTAATACAAAGTAGAGCATTAGGTTCTCTGAAGCTTGATCCTGTTCTTCCTTCCTTTTCCTCCTCTCCTCTTCCTGTCTCGTTCCGTTCTACATCTTGGTCCAAGGCCATCTCATTTGCTCACATGACTTAGATCTATATGTTGATGGCTTTCCAAATGTATGTCTCCAGCCCTGACCTCTCTTCTGAAGTCAAGATCAATGGATCCAACTGCCTCCTTGACATCTCCACCGGCAATTTCATGTCTAAAATTGAACCTCAGACATTCCACCTAAACCTGCTCTTCTTCCAGCATGGCGCTTCTCATTGGGTGGCACCATTATCCACCCAGATGCCCAAACTCTTCATCTGGGACCTGCAACACCTCCTTCTCCCTCAGTCTCCACATCCAATAAAGTGCCAGACCTCCAAAGTCTATCTAGGCCCTCTCCTCTGCTCACAATCCCTATATTCAACACCATCATTCACATGGAGAGGGTACAACTCCTCTTGTTGGCCATTCTTGCCTTCTTGCTTCTGTTTTTAGACTGGGGCCAGAGGAATATTTAGAATTACATATCAGACCACATTATGTATTTGTGTAAAAGCCTTTAAAGGCTTCCATTACACTTGGGTAATTTCTCAAAATGCTTACCACACGTGACCTGACAGTCCTTCATGACTGGACGTCCTACTGTACCCCTCCCTCCCTCTGCTTCCTCGCCGACCTCCCTTCAGTTTTGCAAATACCCCATCCTTCTCCAGCCATGAGGGCTTCAAATCTACTGTTTTTCATGGAAGGCTCCTACCCGTCCTACTCACTTGGGTCACTGACAATTTCATCTGCTCATTTTAAATGTTCATTCCTCAGCAGGGCCTTTCTCCTTCAAGCACACATCACAGTTCTTCCATAACCCTCTTATTCCCTTATAGCACTTAACACAATTTACAAATATACTCATTTGTGTGTTTGACATCCATCCCCTCAGCCCCACCTATGTGCACGCTTCTCCCGTGTTACCCATCGCCTTGTCTCTGGAGCCCAGCACAGAGGGCTTGGTGCACAGAACATGGTAGGTTTTTGTTGAATGAATGTGGTAAAGGCTGTGAGAAGCAGGCAAGCCAGGGGTTGGGATTGTGCAGTGGAGGCAGGAGGACCTCTGAATGGTGGTGCAGAGAAGGCTTCCAGGAAGGTAAGGATTTGGTGGAAGTTTTGAAAAATGGGTGGGATGGAACCATCCAGGGTGAGTAAGAATAAAGGAGCCGGTGGAGGAGCTTTCCATGTGGATAGACAGCCTGGTAGGAGAAACCCCAGTGGGTTGTGAGAAATGGCAGATAACCAGGATGTCTGAAATATAGGGCTTGGGACAGGAGGTAGACTGGAAAGGGTGTGCAGAGAGCTGGCTTAAATCTCCAGGAGGTGCTGATGGGTGGCCAACAGACGTCTCCTGGACCAGATGGTCCTTCTCTTTCTGGAGGGATTGTTCACAAACACCTGTGTCCCTTCGTGAGCTTTCAGGAAGGAGTTAGGGCCTAAAAGGGTTCAACCCCTGCCGCTCCCTGCCCCACCCCAGCCCCAGGCATCTGGTTGGTAGGTTTGGGCCAAACCCTATTTGCAGTGGAAATGGAATGTTGCTTATTTTATGATGTTAACTGTTTCATCTAGTTCCACATTAGAAAACTTGGGACTCTGGACAATTTATAGGAAAAAAAATTAGGACAGAATTCAAACAATTCTTCCACAGGCATTTGACTCGTGTTCGAATCATGTCCAGGTGTGAACCCTCGTGACTCACCGTTGAGGCCTCTAGAAAAATTCATCCAGCTACACACAGGACTTTCTGAGCTTGCTGAAAACACATGCGTGGCTCCTCTATCCAATGGATTAATGTTTAATTATTTTTTTAATCTTTATTTTTGAGAGAGAGAGAGAGAGAGAGAGAGAGAGAGAGAGAGAAAACGAGTGGGGGAAGGGCAGAGACAGAGGGAGACACAGAATCTGAAACCAGCTCCAGTCTCTAAGCTGTCAGGACAAAGCCCGACACGGGGCTTGAAGTCACAAACCGAGAGATCATGACCTAAGCCGAAGTCGGACGCTTAACCAACTGAGCCACCCAGGTGCCCCTGGATTACTGTTTTAAAGGGACATTTATTAAGTGTTTTACCACTTACCCTGTTAGGTGCTTTCCATGTGTTACCTCATTTAGTCCCCACCCTCATGCCATCAGGGAAGCACTCAGATTTATCTTGTAGATAAGGAAACCAAGCTCAGAAGGATTAAGTAACTTGCCCCACATCACACAGCTTGTAGGCGTGAAGGCTGCATTTGAATGGAAGTCTGTCTGGCCTACATCCTGTGCTCTCAGCTGGTAAGTAAGCTCTGTGGCTCTCCAAACGCAGGGCGTAGTGACTGGGTTTGGGGGAACCATAAGGATTGCTTTTTAAGGAACTTTTTTTTACTTTAAAATAATTACAGACTCACAAGAAAGTTGCACAAAATGTGCACTTGCATAGCTGTAGTACAATATCAAAAACGGGGGATTGACAGCTCAATCCAGAGTTGTGAGTTTGAAATTCAGATTTCACTAATTTTACCACCCAGGTTATTTTTTAAGTGGCGTGAAGCTTTCAAGGGTAAAACCAAACCAACAAACAAAACCTGCACACTTTATGAAAGGTCCTTTTGAACTCCTTCTGTCCCTGGGCCCTTGAACTCTCACTGATGTCCTAGGCTTCCTGAAACAGCAGGTCTGAGGAGGGGAGGAATCAATACACAGAGAGATCCATTTCTGCCATCATGGGCTCCAAGGAAATGCTATATTGCCATGGGACCTCACTGAATCCATGCTGCTTTAACAGGAGAGGGCTTCCAGCAGGGGAACCCAGAGGGACCTGGTCAGACTGCCTGAGTCTGGTTGTTTGGAGGCCTCTAAAACCCTTGGGGCTACCTAAGACCTGGCTCAGCCAAAATGTCTCTTTGCTCCCATTGTCTGTCTCCTGGCAGCTGATGATAAGTGATAAGCATGGGAGATAAAACAGGTTTGGGGCTGTGAACCTGCCTGAATCACTGGCAGCCAACCAGGCCATTTTTATCTGGAAAAACTCCCCCCAGGACAGCCCAAATGAGTGTTTGGGAACCTGACTCAGGGAACAATGGCGGGAAATGGAGGCCCAAGCTTGGGCGTTAGGGCCCTGCCACCCACACTCCCCTTGCACTGTTATTCCTGGCGAAAACAGAGATTTGCTTTCATTCAGACAGACTCTGTGGGAAGAGGTGCAAATGAGGTTTTAAAATTAAAAGGAAGTAGTATGATGACAAGGGAAGTGATAGGAGATTATTTTCCAAGCTTCAGAGATTTCATTATAAATGATTCTGAGAACTCCCTCCCCGGGTATATAATGACAGCCGTACTAGTAACTGTGGTAGCTCCTTGCCCACCAGGCCAGATGTCGAAGCCATGTCGGGGGTTAATTTCCTTGCCACATGGTTTCATTTAAGAATTTGAGAGACCCCAGAACAAAGGAGAAGTCAGACCTTAATGATGCAGGAGACGGTCATCCTTCTTGGTGTGGCCATAGGGCGATTGGGTTCTGGCCCCAGGTAAATCTGGTTTACTCGTCTTTAACCCTGTGGAGGAGGCCATCCAGGTAGACTGACATGCACCGATGTTGCTAGAGATGACTGCTGTACCAAATGCTCAAAATCTCTCCGTTATGGTTGTGTTGCCCCCAAATTCGCATGTTGGAGTCCTAAATTCAGTGCCTTAGAATGCGACCTTATTTGGAAATCATTGTGGATATCATTAGTTAAGGTGAGTAGAGGAGAGGAGGGTGGACCCTAATCCAGTACAACTGGAGTCCTCATAAAGAGGGGAACTTTGGAGACACACACACACACACACACACAAACACACACACGGAGAACACCATGTGAAGATAAAGGCAGAGACAGGGGTGATACTTCTCAAGGAAAGGTGAAGACGGCCAGCAAACCATCAGAAGCTGAAGAAAGGCATGGAACAGATTCTCCCTCAGAACCCCTAGAAGGCAACTGCTCTGCCAAACCCCTGCCCTCAGACTTCTAGCCTCCAGAACTAGGAGACCATAAATTTCAGTCCTCGAAGCCATCCAATTCCCACTACTTTGTTAAAACAGCCCTAGCAAACCAATAACACCCTCTCAAGAATTTTGTTTTAGAAACTTGCTCAGAATTGATTTCAAGGTCACTGGCTCATGCTGTGTGAAGTCCACCTGCCTTCCACTCTCAATATTGGAGTGGATCTTGCCATATTTATTTTCCCAACACTTCTGTTCTCAATAACGCCTATAAGCAAAAACAAAGCAAATACCCCAAAAATGTTTGCTGGTGATTATGCTTAAATTAGAGCCAGTCAGCTCTTTCTGAAAACTAAAAACAAAAACCAGAACTAAAACCTAGATGTACGCCATTCAGGAGATATTTCCTGCTGGTTCTTAGTCCAAACGGGTGAGGAAACACTAATGGTGGAAAAGTACCACTGTGTTCTCAGCAGGCACATCACACCTGCATTGGGCATAAACAGCTCCTTTCCCCTGGTTCTCGGATGCACAGAGAAGGGAGAGGCTCTCTACAGACCCAGGGGAATAACTTGCTGGCAGAAAGATGACCTAAGGAAATGACAGAAGCTGCATAAACATGATCCACAGCCCTGGTGGTGGTGAGGAGTCCTTTCACTGCAACCATCCCAACAGTGCCCTTCAGCAGAGACAACCAGGACCTGGGCTCCAGCAGGCCCTAGAAGGAATCCCTGTGACCAGAGGTCACTGGGACACATATCTCTATAGCCATGGGGTCCTGGCACTTGTGGCCCAGCTCCAAACCTTACTTGCTCTGGAGTGCTGGCTAGACATAGATCGGTTAATCTGGAAGACACCACTTGGAACCCCTAGGACTTCCTGTTCTGTTATGAGATCCTCTTGGGGCCTCCTCTTGGAGTGTAGGTCGGACTTGGGCAGTTGGCTACACGGATGAACAGAAGGGAGAACAGACTTCTCCTTCCTCCTGTTTCCCCGTGTTCCCTCATGCCTGACACACAGCCTTGCTTGGCCTTTGCAAGGTCCTCTGCTTTCCCACCTAAAGGTGAATGGTTTTGTTACAGGTGGGACAACAGAGAGGCATGCAGGTGTGGGGAGTGGGAGAGGGGGTTCTGCCAGCAGGCTCGGTCTCTACATTCCTCCCAGTGGGACTGGGTTTAAAAGATCAGAGCTGTGCCCTTTGAGGAAACAGCCAGAACTCTCCTTCCCTTAAGTGGGAAATCTCTGGTCCTCACCACAGCTGCTCTGACCTGGCTTGTCTCCAGCCTCCCTCTCAGATGACCCATTCTCTGAAGGGTGCCTGGGGCAAAAGATAGGGAGACCCCCAGGGAGTGCCTGAATGGTCCAGCACCACCCAGATGCTCACCCAACTGGAGAACTGACCTCCATAAATGGCACCACCTCTTTTGGCCACGGATTCACTCATTGATCCAACAGGGTCCACCTTGGAGGCTTTCCAGAATCCCTTTTCTGTCTAGCTTCCCGCCCTTTCACCTCCTCCATAGTCACCTTAGTCTTCTCACCTCTCTTTCCCTGCCTGGCCCCACCTCTATCCCCAGAAGGTATAGGTCTCATCCACAGGTGCCTGGGCACCCCAGCAAGAGGCTTAAGTCTTCCAAACTCTACAGCATACGACATCAACACAAACCTTTCCCTGGCTACTGGTGACTGCCCTTCCTAACTCAGCTCCGATGTTTTTAGGCCAACAAAATCTGTTTGTTTAAACTGTCGTACAGGAAAACCCAGGCAGAGGTGAGAAGGGAGGAAAACCCTGTCCTGCCACAGAAGCAGAGCAGCAAAGAAATCCCAGCCCAGCTGCACACCCTGAAGCAGCGACCAGAACTAGGCACTCGGCAGGCACACTGGCCCTGGCCTCACGGCTGCAGCTCAACCTTCCCAGCAGGGCACACAACGGGTTAAGGAACTACATTTCGACGAGTACTGTGGCCTGAAACTCAAGCTCCCAAGGTCTCTTTCAGAGTCCAGGGCCAGGGAAGTGTCTATTGTCAACAAATGCCACCACCAGACCAATAGCAGGCCAGAGTGTGGTTCTGAGATAGGGGCCTCTGCGTGTCACCAGGCAACGGGCACAAAGAAGGCTGGATCAACCAACCGCCCAGCAGACAGTGACAGTGCCCCACAGCCCCCCTCCACCTCCAGCTCCAGCAAAGCCAGGTGGGAGAGCCACTCAGTCCCAGAGTCCCCCAAGATCACATTACCATCAGTCTTACAATTTGGGGGGAAAGGAGATGGTGTAGAAAAGGCTTTATTTGGAAACTCTAGTACAATTTGGTTTATTAAGAGCTGGGCTGATGGCAAAGGTGAAGATTTTCAAGTGAAAAGGAAGTAAATGTTGCTGCAAACCATAGCAAGGCTCATACACCTTTCCTTTGCTCCCTTCCTACAAGTCAGGAGATGGCCACAACCCTAGGATCCCTCACCCAGACCTCCTGGCTTTCCCTGGGGAATGCTGGGTGGGATGCTTGTGACACATTTACTAAATTAGGCTAGAGGAGAATGTAAGGTGAAACCTAAGAATGTTTGTTTCTCATCCCTACAAAGTACACTCCCTTCCTGTCACAGAGCCAGAGCGGGTCCAGCCATCACCCAGGGAAAGCCTTCTGATCTCCAACGAATGGAGACTTGAAGAAACATTTTTATTTCATCACGTACATCTTCATTCAACATTTAGAGCAAAAGAGGGCCTCAGCTAGGTGCTGGGGATGCAAAGATGAGCTGGTCATGTTTCCCACATGGTCTGACCTTCCCCAAAGGTTCACCATCTTACCCACCCTATATGCTGAAGACTCAGATCTACCCTCCCAGCCCAGCCCATACCCCTCCTCTCCTAAGCACCAACCCAATATATCAAGTAGTTTTCTAGACACTTCCTTGTGGTTTTCCACAGGGCCCCACGCTCAAGGCTTCATCTCTCTACCACCAAACCGGTTTTACCACATGAACTCTTTGCATTAGTGGATGATACCACCCCTCCATGGGGTTGAAATGTGCCCCCCTGAAATTCAAATATTGAAGCCCTAATCTCCAGTACCTCATAATGTGACCTTATTTAGAAATAGGGTTGTTAGAGATGTAACTAATTAAGATGAGGTCGTACTGAAGTAGAGTGGGTCTATTCCAATATGACTGGTGTCCTTATAAAAAGGGGAAATTTGGATACACACACAGGAAGACACCATGAGAACAGACCTAGGGAACAGACAACCATCTATAAGCCAAGGAACACCAACGGCTACCAGAAGCCAGGAAAGAGGACTGAAACAGATCCTTCCACAGAGCCTTCAGAAGGTACATGGCACAGCCAACGCTTTGATTTCAGACTTCCAACCTCCAGAATTGTGAGACAATAAATGTCTGTTGTTCTAAGCCATCCCATTTGTGGTACTTTATGACAGTAGCCCTAGGAAACAAACACTACCTCCATTAAACATTGTCCAAGAAAGGAGCCTAGGAGGGACGCCTAGGTGGCATGGTTGGTTGAGCATCCAACTCTTGATTTCAGCTCAGGTCATGATCCCAGGGTGAGGCTCCATGCTGAGCATTGAGCCTGCTTGAGATTCTTTCTCTCTCTCCCTTTGCCCCTCTCCCCAGCTCTCTCTCTCTCTCATTCTCTCTTTCTCTCTTCTCTCTTGGAAGAAAGAAAGGAAGGAAGGAAGGAAGGAAGGAAGGAAGGAAGGAAGGAAGGAAGGAAGGAAGGAAAGAAAGAAAGAAAGAAAGAAAGAAAGAAAGAAGAAAGAAAGAAGGAAAGAAAGAAAGAAAGAAAGAAAGAAAGAAAGAAAGAAAAGACTGGAAGCTTCCATCGTGTCCTCCCCCCATCAACACTTCCACTCTCCACCTGTAACCAACAATAAACCACTAAACATTGCCCATTACACCTGCAGGACACCTTGCCACCAGCCCACTTGTCTTCGTTCCTGCTGTCCTCACCTTGGAGCAGGCTGCCATTATTTCAACCAAATCCTTCCTAACTGCTGCCCCTGCCTCCAATACCACCTCCTGCCTAGCTCTTCCTCAAATTCCAGCTGGAGTCATATTTCAATGTGCAAAGAGGAGATGCCTCTTCCCTCCTTAGAAGATGTTCCCCCTTGCTATTACAATGGAGTTTTCTTCCCCTACAGGGCTAAAGAGGTAATGGGTAATGTGACCCCTGGTTCCCTCCCTGTCCCCATCTCTTGCCAGTCTCTTTCCAGTAGAGTCCTCCAGCAGTCCCAAGCTTTTTTCTCTTCCTTAAATGCACCAGGTTCTATCTGGCCACCAACACTTACATATGCTGTTCCCTCTGTCTAGAACCCATTTCCCCACCCTCTTCATCCACAGGCTTTTACTTAAATTGCATTGTAATTGCCTCTTTTTCTATTAGTGTCCCACCTCGATGGTAAGCTCCTAGAGTGGAGTAATTCCATCTATTTTTTTCATGGGTATATCTACAGTGTCTGGCATGGTGCCTGGGACACAGTAGGTGCCCACCAATCATTTGCTAATTGGCCAACTGGTAGACAAAAATGCAACTCCTATCCACGATGAGCTCAGTCCAGAGGGAAGACAACAGTGTGGACAAAGAAGCTCAGTAACACAGAAATAAGACCCGCCTTTGACTCAGCCTGAGGAAATCAGGGACATTTCACACAGGCAATACCATTTAAGTTGGGCCTTTAAAAATGAGTAGAAACTGGCCAGAATGGAGAAGGAGCAGGGTAGGAAAACTCATTTTAGGCAAAGAAGATGCCAAGGGCATGCTTAGGAAATTGTGGGAATATTTTGTGTGCCCAGAACATGATTCAGCAGATATGGGCTGGGGGCAATGGACTATGAATCTTGCAAGGAACTTATTTTTGCATATAAACCTCAACTTTTCTTAGACATGAAAGAGCAAAAAGTAAGTTTGTGATCCCTTTTTACAGTCAAGGAAGGGGATCTAAGTCCAGAAGCGCTGTTCCCTGAAAATCCTAATTCTGTTTGTTCCTAGATGTAAAACGTTTACCTCTTCAGAGCTCCGGCTAAATATTACATTTCTTTTTTTTTTTTTTTTTTAATTTTTTTTAACGTTTATTTATTTTTGAGACAGAGAGAGATAGAGCATGAATGGGGGAGGGGCAGAGAGAGAGGGAGACACAGAATCGGAAGCAGGCTCCAGGCTCTGAGCCATCAGCCCAGAGCCAGATGTGGGGCTCGAACTCACGGACTGCGAGACCGTGACCTGAGCCAAAGTCGGACGCTTAACCGACTGAGCCACCCAGGCACCCTTAAATATTACATTTCTACTGAAGCTGAGCATCCGGATAAAAACAGCTGGGACCACAACTGCATCCACTTTCCCCTACCCCAACACCCCTCAAACTCCTGACTATTCTCAAAAGAACACAGGTTGAGTGAGTAAATGTCTAACTCCTCCAAATGTCCTGGGGGATGGAGGGGAGGGGAGGCTTTCTGGGGATACCCTTTATCATTATGAAATCTCTCTGGCTCTAATCTAATTTCAGTTCCTCTTATTAGTCTTTTCATATATAAAGAATAATCTGTCTATATCCTCTGCATAAAATCATTTCCTATACTTGAAAGCAAGAAATAAACCACCCTTTGCCTTCTCTTCTCCAAAGAAAACAAATTTGCTTCCTTAACTGTTTTCTTACAGAATCTATCGTCTCTTTGCCAACCTTAACTCCTTAACATCATTCTAATATTTCCCTCTCTCTCTCTCTTTCTCTCTCTCTCTCTCTTGGAACCAATGTATGGACCAGAACAGGAGAGAAATCATAGAGCCAAGATAGTTTTTCTTAAGATAGATGGGTGACCTGGATTAGCAAGAAAAAGAGTCCCTTCTGCACAGGAATATCTGCATGGTCCAACACAGTTCAAGTTCAACCCAGGGAAACATATGTCTGCTATTGCACATAGCGTGAAGCCTGAGAAGGTGTGCACGGGATAAAGGAAGCCTGCTCTACCATGCCACCACCCATGGATCTATAGCCTGGAGCCAGCGCTGTGGTCAGAACATGGACAGGTGAGTCTGAGCACAGGCACACACACAGCTCAAGCCCAAGGGTCAGCAGTGGCCCAGCAGTGGCCCAGAGCTACGAAGTCATTTTTTGTGGTACAGGAGTGAGACATCATAATCAGCATGTTAGTACTGTTCAGGCAGCTCAATCTCATGTGAAAGAAATACCATGCCAGCCAGCAGAAGTAATTGGATTGCCAAGCCGCTTTCCAGGAAAAGGGACATCTGGTTGACCTCATGGATGGGGTAGAGGGTCAGAGATATTCCCCAAGGGAAGAAATAAGGACAAAGCCCACTCAGATCCCGTCTGGAATCAGGGCGCCCCACCTGGACAGCACTGCTGGCTCTGCCTGGTTCCCAAACACTAGAAAGGCATTTAAAACATTTTAGGAAAGTCACTCTAAAGTGTGTGTGTGTGTGTGTGTGTGTGTGTGTGTGTGTGTTGATGCATGGAGGTCCAAAGGTGTGAGGCCTGGGCAAGAGCTTCTTTCTATCAGAGTCTAAGAAAAGTACAGGCTTGAATTCAGGTTGGGGTGACTTCAAATCACTCATCCTGACCATTATAAAATATTGGGAACCATACAAACCATAGCTTTTTATGACAAAGCTAACATGTCAAGCTTTAGAGAATAGAGAGGAAGATGTGGGTATACCTGCTGCATTGTCCCCTTCCTCCTTGTCCTGTCAAATGTTCTATTCCTGCCCCCCATCTGCTCTGGTCAACCTTGCCTTCCCAGTAGGTCCTACCTCCATCATCCTTCTGCCCTTCCTCCTCCACTTTGCTGTGTGTGAGACGGTCCCATAACTCGGAAGCCAGGCACGAGGCGCTTCACTTTCTGGTCGCATAGGGCTGGAGTGGAGGGTGCACAGGGCAGGATTTGTTGAGCAAGCCAGAGTCAGGCAGAGACTAACTCTAGGGCAGGGCAGGGCAGGACCTAGAAGAACAAATTGAAGATTAGGGTTATTTATGTGTCCATTTCCAGCCCTAGGCGGTGACTACTTCCCGAGAGGGACTTGCCTGCTAGTCTATCTTCTTGCATCCCTTGTGCCTTGAACAATGCCTGTCACCATGTTTGTGATAAATGAGAGGATAAAAAGATGAAGGGCCAAAGGGCCCTGCCTTTGCCTGTTGAGATTGGCTCAGGACTTGGGGCAGGCTCGACTCTGTAGGTAGAGCCATGGGCAGATCCAGCTATAAGGAGTGGAGAAAACCATAAAAGGAGGTGGACCTGAGATTAAATGTCCCTTCTCTCACACCCCAGAGGCATTTCAATGTGGTTCCATTCCCTCAATGGTTGTGGCTCAATGCTGTCCTCATGCGACCACCCTAACCCCACAATAGCAGTGCTGTCCAGGGGCACCCCTCCCTCCCATCAGAGTCACAGGAATCCCTAGGCTTCCCTTTGAACCACATCGCTGCCACAGCAAGCCACATCGGAGTTGTGAAATGTCCAGTGGGTCACTCTTATGTTACAAACAGTCCCCAAGCAAGCCCCCCACTAGCAATTGTCAGCTCGTGTCCTGTGCTCAACCACCTGGGAGATCTATCAGTTGCTGTTTGCAGTCACCCAAGCACCCCAGTTTCAAATAATTAACTGCTCCCTCGGAATGCTTACCTTTGCAAAATACCGCATGCTCACCTGAGCATAAAGAGGCTCCTGATAAGACTATCAAAATTGCCTTTGAATGCTGCATAATTTATGGTTAGGTTCATACCCTTCACTAAGCTCTAGGTGACAGCCTGGCATGCAATTAACAAAACAAAACAAAACCTGGCCTCTGAACTGTTAAAAAGCCTGTCCAATAGTCCTGTCTCACAGATGGTGACTCTCGGTGCCTCCCAGCTGAGAGTAGTCGTGTGGAAGGGAGTATCACTGGAGAGGAGGCCCCGGAAACATGAAGGCAGCTGCTGCCGGCTGTGTTGGGAAAACAAGCTTTGAAACTCAGGGCTGGGATGGGCTAGCGGGGATCAGATATAGCTAGGTGAGGGGGATGGCTAATGCCTTGCTCCCTGAAGGCTGTTTCTCCTGGTTACATGACTCCTGCTGTCGCTGTGCCCCCTCTCAAACCCACCCCAGCTCAGGGGAGCCAGCAGGCAGAACTCTAGACAAACTGGCCACAGAGTATCCCCCGATAGTAGGGGGATGCTCATCTGGCCCATGAGCAGCATTACCTTTTTATCAACATTCCAAATGGAATTTTAACACTCCTAGCACCTGCCACGTCCCTCAAGGATTCCTTTCACACATAGAAACCTCTGTATGCCACCTCTCTCGCCTCATGGTAATAAGACTCCTTTGAAATAACATTAATAATAACAGCTAATATTAATCATGCCCTTAATAAGTGTCAGAAACTATAGTAAGTTGAAACTATATTCAGACACTACACTAGGGGTGCCTGGCTGGCTCAGTTGGTGGAGAGTGCGACTTTAAAAAAAAATTTTTTTTTAATGTTTATTTATTTTTGAAAGAGAGAGACAGAGCGCTAGTGGGGAAGGGGCAGAGAGAGAGGCACGGAATTTGAAGCAGGCTCCAGGCTCTGAGCTGTCAGCACAGAGCATGATGCAGGGCCTGAACTCATGAACTGTGAGATCATGACCTGAGCCGAAGTGGACGCTTAACTAGTTGAGCCACCCAGGCGTCCTGAGAGTGTGACTCTTGATCTCAGGGTTGGGAGTTCGAGTCCCACTTTGGTGTAGAGATTATTTAAAATCTTACAAAAAAGAAACTATACTAAATATTTCTATAATTGTAACAGTATATGATTAGTCCTATTGTGGGTACTTTATACACATTATCACTCAATCTTTCACAATAAGTCTGCAAATTAAAAAGAAAGCATCCAGGGATGGCTGGGTGGCTCAGTTGGTTAAACATCCAATTCATCTCAGGTCATGATCTCACGGTCTGTGGGTTCGAGCCCCACGTTGCGCTCTGTGCTGACAGCTCAGAGCCTGGAGCCTGCTTCAGATTCTGTCTCCCTCTCACTCTCTGCCCCTCCCCTGCTCATGCTCTCTCTCTCTCTCTCTCTCTCTCTCTTTCAGAATGAATAAACATTAAGCAAAAGAAAGAAAGCATTCATTCTTTTACCATTAAGTACGATGTTATTTGTGAGTTATTCATAGATATCCTTCATTAGGTTCCCTTCTATTCCTAATTCAAGCGTTTCTATCATGGAGAGGTACCGAATCTGTAAAATGCTTTTTCTGTATCTATTGATATTTTGTCATTTATTCTATTGGTATTGTATGAAATTAATTGATTTTCAGATGTTAAAACAATCTTACATGCCTGGGATAAGGCTGGTCATGGTATATTGTCCTTTTTATAGGCTGCTACGTTTGGTTTGCTGGTATTTTAGTGACAGTTGGTCCTTTTGTTCTTCTTTTTGCTTCCTGTATGTGACCTATTTTTCCCTGTGCGATGTGTCCGCATCATCAAAATGGTAAGACTCCAAAGATTGAGAAGGTAGCTGGATCAAGAAGCCAGCCAGTTGACAATTGTCTGGAGCGCCCTCTATAGGAGGTTTTGGAAGAAGTACAAAACACAACAGTTAACTCAAGATTTCTACAAACCACTTATTATATCAGCGGTTCTCAAATTGTAATGTGCAAAAGAATCACCTGCAGCGCTTATTAAAACACAGAATCTTGGGGCACCTGGGTGGCTCAGTCGGTTAAGCGGCCGACTTCGGCTCCGGTCCTGATTTCGCGGTCCGTGAATTCGAGCCCCGCGTCGGGCTCTGTGCTGACAGCTCGGAGCCTGGAGCCTGTTTCAGATTCTGTGTCTCCCTCTCTCTGACCCTCCCCCATTCATGCTCTGTCTCTCTCTGTCTCAAAAATAAATAAATGTTAAAAAAAAAAAAACCACAGTCTTGGGTCCAACCTTCAGTCTGATTCGGTGAGTCTGGGGAAAGACTCATGATTTGCATTTCTAACAAATTCACAAGTGATGCTGATGCTGATGGTTCATGGATTATACTTTTAGTAGAACATTTTTATAGACTGGCTAATTGTAAATTGCTCAATCTCACTCTGAAATTGACAGAATCTTACAAAGAAATAACCACCCCCCCCCGACGCCTTGAAACAATAATACCACCAGCAAAGAGAGCATCCATTATCCTGATCTTCATTTCTAATTTAAAAACAAAATTTTTTTTAGTGTTTGTTTATTTTTGAGAGAGAGACAGAGTGTGAGCCAGGGAGGGGCAGAGGGAGAGGGAGACATAGAGTCCAAAGCAGGCTCCAGGCTCTGAGCTTTCAGCACAGAGCCCGATGCCAGGCTGGAACTCATGAACCGTGAGATCATAATCTGAACTGAAGTCAGACACTCAACTGACTGAGCCACCCAGACGCCCCTTGATCTTCATTTCTAAATACCATTCTCTGATCCAAGGAAGCAAGGACCTTTGAGAAATAGCTAACTCTAGGGCTGGGACAAAAAAATACAAAATGAGCCTGGAGCATCTTATAATGTAGAGAAAGTAAGGAAATAAAAAGAACAAAAGGATGGAACATGTCAAAAGACTGAAAAAAATATCCATGAGTTCATACGGATATAAATAAGTGAATGAACAAATAGGGAAGAGAGATGAACTTCCTTACAGAAGAATCTAAATAATATATGTAAATATTCTCCCTTCCAGGAGGTGAAACTTAATTCTCATCCCCTTGGGTATGGGCTAGATTTACCAACTTCCAAAGAAGTGGGTAAAAAGTAACTTGATGGTGGAGGAACATGGCAGATACCACGTTGACCAAGTGATCTAGGTCAACATCACCAGTGATAAGTCATCTCTGTAGCATGTGCCCCAATAAGATGCTATGAGAAGGGTACCTTACCTCTGTGATATTCCCCCCAAGTCCCATAACCCAGTTTGATCATGAGCAAACATCAGATAAACTCAAACTGAAGACACAAACTGGGGGACAAAAACACAAATTATGTAGTTGCTGGAGGACTTGTTTCCAGAATATGTGAAGAATTTTCAAAACTCAGTAAGAAGGAAACAATCTGGATAGTTGGAGACATATTAGGGGTTACCTGGGAACAAGAAGATGGGGGTAGTGGAGAGGGGCAGAAGGGGGCAATTCCTCAGGGGTACAAGAAAACTCTGGGGACGATGGCTATAGTCACTATCTGGCTTGTAGTGATGCAGTGATCACAGGTGCATATATATGTCAAAACAAACTAACCAGACAGTACATTTTCAATATGTGCATCCTGAATACTCTCAATGACTTTTCCTTATCTTTTCCTAATTTTCCAGAGGATACAGGGGTGAGGAATCTTGTCTCACCGGGTAGAGCCAATACATACCCTTTCCCTACGAATCACGTTCCTGGGAAGGCAAGGCAGCCAGCATTTATTGTGTAGTTATTATGTTCCTGGAACTTTCACACAGTAAACTCAGTGAATCCTTGGAGCAATCCCGAGAGGAAGATGGTAATAATGCCGCATTCCAGATTACAAAGATGAGCCTCAGGCAGTTAGGTAACATGGCTTATTATACAGCTAGTCAATAATGACAGAGGAATTGAAAAATAGTTTATTCAAAACCCAGGGGCAGGAAGGGGAATTTGTGTAACTATATTATCATAAATTACTTCCATCTCTGTTGAGTAACCTAATGCCATCCAGTTATGACTGAAACAAAAAACTCAAATAAATTAAAATAAAATATTGTTTATTAAATATATAGCAATGCTTTATATTGACAATAAGGAGGATCTTTTTTTCATAGTATCTGTATTGCATTTTTATTGAAAATCTGTTTCCTCTATTTCCACCCCATTAAATGAATATGGATAAATATTAAAGCAAATAAGACCTGACTGGGGCAGCCACATGACTCCATCTGGCCTCAGCTCTGGGTCAGATTGTGGTTTAGAAGGAAGGGGCAAAGCAAACCACTGAGGGAGCTTTTGTTGTACATGGTAGCCCTGTTCTAGGTGATGCCTCTGCCCGCCTGGTTTTCTGAAATCTCCCCCCTGGATTCTCCAGTCTGGTGTCCACTCTGTGGGATAGCCATTACTTCCAGAATCACCGATGCCCACATTTCCTAAACCACAGCTGGGACTGTGGCACCCAGGGACGTTGCGCTGGACCCTGGACTGTCTGGGCAGCATTCTATGGGTTGCTGGCATGCATGAGCTTCGCACCTCCCACATCACAGACTTCTCTCCTTGTGTCTCCTCTGTCACAGTCTCAGCTGGACTCCCAGCCTCCAGGCAGAGTGATCTTTCTGAAATGCAAATCTGATCATACCATTTTCCCACTGCCAGCCCTTCACTGATGCCTCGTCACCCACAGGCTAATGCCTGAGCTCTCTGTTTACACACAGCATCTTCATGATCTGCCTCAGCCTATTATTGTAGCTTTACTTCCTGTCCATCTCGCCACCCCACATGCCAACCAACCCCCGTTCCAAGAACAAGCCCCATTTCCTCTTCCTCTGCCAGGAAGACTCTCTCTCTCTCTCTCTCTCTCTCTCTCTCTCTCTCTCTGCAAGCTCCTACTCAACCTCCATGTTGAGCATATAACTCAGAGGTCACCTTCTCCAAAGTGACCTCCCTGACTCTTCAGGAGTTTCCTTTTTTTTTTTTTTTTTTTTTTTTAATTTTTTTTAACGTTTTTATTTTTATTTTTGAGACAGAGAGAGACAGAGCATGAACAGGGGAGGAGCAGAGAGAGAGAGAGAGACACACACAGAATCTGAAACAGGCTCCAGGCTCTGAGCCGTCAGCACAGAGCCCGACGCGGGGCTCGAACTCACGGACGGTAAGGTCATGACCCGAGCCAAAGTCGGACGCTTAACCGACCAAGCCACCCAGGCGCCCCAGGAGTTTCCTTTTTTATACTCACCAAGCACTTTGTTTCCATGCACATATAGCCCCAAGCAAAGCTCTGTTTCCATATCTGGATCTTCCTATAGACTGAACTCCTCAAGATGGAAACTGTTGGGTACATCTTTGTGTAACCACGGTGCCAGCTGTCTCTTCGTCTTACAGTTCCAGAGTCCACATGTGTTGTCTGTGTTTACCCCAAGGCCACCTGGGTGCCCAGTTCAATAGCTCTAGACCTCTGATCCATCCAGGAGCAATGCAGACTTTGTGGGAGCAGTGAAGAGTGACTCACAGGGCACACCCCACCACAAACAACTGAAAACTGCTCATCAATTGTCTTCCCATGGAATTCTTTCCTTGGACAAGCTACAAGCAGGGGCTTTTCTCTCTTCCCCTCCTCCAAAGAGTACCTGTTGCCTTGGCTCTTCTCTGTTTTTATATACATGTATATAAATGTTGCTATCCATGAGACTTGATCTTAAAAATGCAAACAGAACAGGGGCCCCTGGGTGGCTCAGTTGGTTAAGCGTCTGACTCTTGATTTCGGCTCAGGTCATGACCTCGTGGTTTGTGAGTTCAAGCCCTGCGCGGGGCTCTGTGCTGACAGCCCAGAGCCTGCTTGGGATTCTCTCTCTGCCCTTCCTCCACTTGTGTTCTCACTGTCTCTCAAGAATAAACACATAAACTTTAAAAAATGCAAACAGAACATAAGACTGTAAAAAAAAAATTAAAGTACCATATCTCTTTTAGACCCACTTCCCAGAAATGACTGGTCTGAAGTTTTCACAACTAACTTCTCATACTTAGATCTTTATTTCATGATTTATCCATCTGAGACAGTGTCTGTTGACTCCTCAGGATGAATATGGTGAAATTAGTACACATACTACCCCTTCCACTTACCTTCTCTGTTCCCTTTTCTCTTTTTTGATCTTCGTGATAGCCTTAATTTGAGTTCTCCAGATGATTATCATTAAACAACATACTTACACCTCTATATCTTGATCTATCAAATTTATACATACTTATGCACTAGCTCTTTAATAAATGCACCTACACAGCCACCTCCTTCTATTTTTGTCAACCAACCACATTTCAACATGTCAAGATGGTCATAATATTTGTATGTTGTACAACAACTATAATTCAGTTTGCTTGGTCTAATGGGTTGATTTTTAAAATAGCAAACCAATAAATAGAATTCAAATAGTATGACTACGTAACTATTATTTGCTCTAGAATCGTGTGGTGTGGCTGGGTTATTAAGGAAATGGAACAGACAATGGTCTGGGACTGACCCGTGAACGCCTGTGGTCGTGGGAACTCTTTTGATTGTACATCCTAATCACCTTTTAGAGTGACAGTGATTGGTCTCTTCGAGCTTCCTTCTTCCTCTTAGGTCATGTGCCAGGAAGTTACCCTTTCCCTCTGAATCCTTGGATTTATTGCCACAGGGTTGAGTCTCCCCCTTTTACGTTTTCTTTCTTTCTTTTTTTTTTTTTTTTTTACTTATTCAGTTTTCTTAAGGGTTTAGCTATTTCAGGGAATCAGCTTTATGCTTATTTAAATGTTTAAATAAATGTTACATCTAATTAAACCTTAACAAATCAGGGGCACCAGAATGGCTCAGTCAGTTAAGCATTCGACACTTGGTTTGGGCCCAGGTCATGATCTCACTGCTTGTGAGATTGAGCCCCGAGTCGGGCTCTGCACTGACCAGCCTGGAGCCTGCTTGGAATTCTCCCTCTCCCTCTCTCTCTCTGCCCCTCCCCTGCCTCAGAATAAATAAGTGAACTTTAAAAAGTAAATTTTAACAAATCAATAAATTAAATTTTAATAAACTCATTGAATCAAATTTAAATTTTGTTTTTATAAATCTCCTCTTCCTAATTTCCTGCTTTTGTTTTTGTTATTTCATTAGTTCCTTAAGACAAGACCTTAGTTCTCTTACTTTTTAGTCTTTCTGCTCCAGTTGCAAGAGGATGACAGGCCATAAATTTTCCTCTGAGGACAGCCTTTGCTGGGTCATTGGTTTTTATTGTTCTTTAGCAATAATCATCTCCCTTTTGATTTCCTCGTTGAGCCCAAAACTATCTAGGTATATATTTCTTAATTCTTTTTTTTAATTAAAAAAATTGTTAATGCTTATTTATTTTTGAGAGAGACAGACAGACAGAACATGAGTCTGGGAGGGGCAGAGAGAGAGGGACACACAGAATCCGAAGCAGGCTCCAGGCTCCGAGCTGTCAGCACAGAGCCCGATGCAGGGCTCAAACTCACGGACCACGAGATCATGACCTGACCCAAAGTCAGACGCTTAACCGACTGAGCCACCCAGGTGCCCCTACTTCTTAATTCTTAAATAAAGTCTTGTTGGGTTTTGTTTTGTTTTTTTACCTTTTTTACTGACTTATTTTTCAAGTCATATTATGATCAGAAATTTTGCCTGGTTATATATCAGTTATACCACGATTTAAAAAAAAAAAAAAAGAATAGAAAAGAAATGTTGCCTGTAAAATTGCTACGAAAAAAATACGTATTTAAAAAAATTTTCTTTTTGTCTTGGCAAGGGACATCTGTTTGCTAAAAGTAAATACAACCTTTAGTGAATAAGGGAAAAAAGCAGCTTTCATTGTTCCTAGTACCGGGCTTAATAACTAGTAAGTGACAATTTTAGGGCTCCGTCAGGCAGGCCACACGGATGGAGCTAATGCTCTGCTCAGAGAGTGTGACGGCAGCTCCATCCAATGTTGGTTGTTAGTCAAGGACCTTGGGGTCATCCTAGACTCCTCTCTTTCTCTTACATTTCAGTGAGGCAATCCCGTGGGTTCTACCTTTAAAATATATCAGAGTCAGACCACGTGTCGTGACTTCCATAGCGGCCACCCTGGTCCAAGCCCTGACATCTCTCTCCTGCCTATCAGTAGGCTCTTAACAGGGCTCCCTGCTGCCACTCTCACCCCCTACAGTTTGTTTTTGGCGTAGCAACAACTTGATCCTGCTAAAAGGATAGTGTGTGCTCCTCTGCTCAGAACCCTCCAGGGGTTTCCTGGCCACTCCACGGGGAAGCCCCCTTGGTAGGGCCGTTGGCACCCTCCCGACCAGCTGGAATGGCAGGGAGGTGTCGGAATGAATGGGGAGCCAACCGGGAGAGGAGGAAGAGGGGGAGGGCCCTCTGAAACAACCAAGGGACACTTTAAGGACAGCTGCTTATCAACGATCCAGCTGCTCGGGTTAATGCCATCATTATTTGGGTGTTAAAAAGAAGTGTGACCTTCCTGGTCCCAGGCTTTTAAGGCACGAATCATTTATGTTACAGTAAGTTTTGCCAAATGTTCTTGCCTAAATTTGTCTTCAGGAATGAATGATTTGCTTCCAATGCTTCCAGGTGAGCTTTCCTTTGTTGGCTGTTTCTTTGAGAGGCGAAAACAACGTAAAAGGCATTACATTTTCCTTTTAGCCAGAAGCATCTCTGCCTGTGCTTCTAATGACACCATCTGATTAATGCAAACGTGTGGGTCTTTCTGAGCCGTGCACTTTGTAAACCAACCAGTGTTGAAGCCTTTGTTGCAGCTGACCACATGAAATGGGGGGGGGGGGGGGGGGTTTCTTTCCCCCTCTGCTGGGTTGGAAGATGGCTATTCTTTATTTTCAGTGGAAGGGCATATCACCCGATATTGCACGCACTGGGATGAACACAAGAGGCCTTTATCTGGGTTACCTGATCACGGTGCTGTACAACTTTCATTACCTGATTAGCTACAAGAGACGAGAAGGGTTTTCCAAGGAAGGCTCAGATACAGCAACACTCCCAGGAGTCAACAGCCTTCTTAGCCAGGGGCACTGGTCGTCCCTATTTTGAAAAAGACCAATGTCATTTTTTTTTTTTTTTTTTTACCTAAGGAAGCTTACAAGGGGGGGGGGGGGGAGTGTACATGCGTGTGTGTGTGTGTGTGTGAGAGAGAGAGAGAGAGAGAGAGAGACACTCCTGGGATCTATATAGTTTGTCCTCTCTTTATACACCTCAAAAATGTTTCAGAAAGGAACTTCTCTACAATGTGTCTTGGGCTGTTTCTGGTCCCCGTTTCCCTGCACAAACACGGGGTTGCTTCTGTGACTAAAACAAAAATCGTCACAGAAAGCAGAACCTCACAGGCCCAGGAACCTCGGCCAAGGTTCCGCTGCCTGCCTCACGTCAGGAGGGAAGGCAACCTTACCTATCTCTTGAGCATTTACTGTGAAGTAAACACTTTGCCTCTTTACTTACCCTAAGCTTTACCTCTTCTTGTCTCTTTTATAGGACTACACACTGAGACTCATAGAGGTGATGGGAAACAGCCCGGCCCCCTCAGTGCAAGTTCTGCCTCCCCCCATCCCGCCCCAGGTCTCGGGCCTGGATTCTAGCAGCTGCTTTCCAAAGGATCTCTCCACACCGAAATCTTTCCACCAGCAGCTAGAAGGAAGTTTTCAAAGTACATTTGTGAGCAGGTGACATATACATACCCTTTACCCCCACCCTCACTGCTAAAAAAAACCCTCCCAGGTTTTTTGTTTTGTTTTGTTTCTTAAATTTGTTTTTTCAACGTTTATTTATTTTTGGGACAGAGAGAGACAGAGCATGAACGGGGGAGGGGCAGAGAGAGAGGGAGACACAGAATCGGAAACAGGCTCCAGGCTCCGAGCCATCAGCCCAGAGCCTGACGCGGGGCTCGAACTCACGGACCGCGAGATCGTGACCTGGCTGAAGTCGGACGCTTAACCGACTGCGCCACCCAGGCGCCCCTTTTTTTTTTTCCAGGTTTTTTAATTAATCTTTGCACAAAGACCAGATGCCTCGTGGTACCCAATCTGCCCATCGTCTCTCTCCAGCCTCATCTTGCCCCGCTCTGCCTTCATCCTCTGGGCTCCCACCCACTGTGCTGCACCGTGCTGCTGGCTGGCCCAGGACTCTGCCACATTCTCGCCTCCACCCCGAGGAGCCCCGCGGGCCCAGCTTCCAGGAGCCACTCGGGCCTCATTCACTCCCATTCACCCTTAAGCTCACAGCTCACCCCTGGCTTCACCAGGCCAGCTACATTTGCTCCCTTAGAGTCCCGTGTATGGCTTCCTTCGGAGCCCTCGCCACCATTTCAGACAGGCATTTTTATCTTAGGAGCGTTTGATGATCTTCTGACTTCCTCTCTAGACTGGCGCGGACTGGGTCTTTTGTTCTTTTCACGAGCTGTATTTTGAACACTTTACACGGTGCCAGGCCCAAGATCGGCAATCCAGATTTGCTGTGCGAATATGCCTGAAGGGGAAGGAATACAGCAACACCTGAGTGGATGGAAAGCCAGGATTTAAACACGGCTGTGTTCATTCCATTGCCTCACACCCTCTCTCCAACTATTTGCCTCCTGACTTTAAAGATATTGGTTAAACTTCGTACATGGTCCTCCCTTGCACAGGACCAGTAAACATAGAATTGGTCATGTCTGGGGCACCTGGGTGGCTCAGTCGGTGAAGCACCCGACTCTTGGTTTCGGCTCAGGTCATGATCTCACAGTTCGTGGGGTGGAGCCCTGCATGGGGCTCTGCGTTGACAGCGAGGAGCCTGCTTGGGATCCTCTGTCTCCTTCTCTCTCTGCCTCTCCCCTGCTCACTCTCTCTCTCTCTCTGTCTCAAAATAAATAAACATTTAAAAAAATTGCTCATGTCTTTTCCAGCTGCTTGAAAAACTGCCACTGATACCAAAACTTTCTGCTTCCACGTCTCCCTCGTTAGAAACTTCTCATGTCAGCTTTGGGTAAGGGATGCCTGTTTTCTTGCTCTGTTTTCTAGACTGTCTCCCCATCGCCGCGTCTCATTTCCCTCCTGTCCCAGTCCTCCTAGGCTGAGACTATTCCCTTTTTTGCTCTCCCAGGACTCAGGCACGTGTCACAGCAGCTGGCCCCCAGGAGGCAGTGAGCCGGGAGGATGGGCCATTTGAGAGCACAGGTGAATGGGCAACTGTGAGCGGGAAAATCAAGGTGCAGGTCAGCAAGAGATCCCCCATTTGGG